GAAACCATATCGCGGATCGGATAACTTGACAACTCTTCGAATCGCACAAAATAGGATAAAGATCTCGCTGAATATATTCGATGTGCTCTATTTCCCTTGTACGGTAAAGCCAGCATTTAACAGCTGTGCACTTATGACTTGTCACATCTAATCTCGTGATGATCGGTAGCTTGTTCGAGAGACTCGACGATAGAATTATCTAGGACGCTCTGTCTCCTATCGCCCTTTTAAGGCATGGAGGTAATGGAAATAATTCGCGCTTAAATTTGAAGAACAGGAGAACTAAAGTCAACGTTTGATTTGATTTATCTCGATTCAAGCTGTGACTGAAGCGTAACAATGGGTTTGTGCATTGTCATCAACAAACCACGCTGGGTGCTATTGATTGCCGTATCACACGGAAGCTCTTCAGGGGTGTGTTTGGCTACGTTGCCTGCTTCCTCTTCGTCACAGCCGCTCAGGTCTCGTTCAACGTTATACTCTCGCTTAATTTTTCTCTGACGAACAATAGGGACCGACCCATAATTCTTCTGTGGCGTAGATGCGTTTCGAATGAGTTTTTTAGTGGAAGTATCTTTTTCCCTTTTGTACTGGTATTTTTTTTCTTCGTTACGGTTTAATAATAATACTTGTTTTGAGCCGTAAATCTCGTATTGAGCTGATAGGGAACGCATTGCCCGTGCTGTGGTTTTCTCAAAGTATTCCGCGGCCATAGCAGGTGGTTTTTCCATTGGAATTTTCCAAATATAGCCATCTCCTCTTTGCTTTTAAATTATCCGAAAATATGTGTAGTAATGGTAAAGTGTCATTTTGCCATTTAGTTAATAACAAAGACCTTGATGTAAGTTATTACTAGGCTTAGGCGCTCTAGATTCGGAAGCAAATGCAGACGAAGTTTGTTCTCCTTTGGGCGCCGCATGAAGCAATGCTCATAGGCACTGCCGACGTAGAACCAAACCATTTAATATTCTCATTTTGCGGTCCTCTAAATAGCTCCGAACAAATATATATATACACGAGCCAGTAGTGTGATTAGTACGGCTTTCTTTTGTTGGTAAAATCTGGACGGATCTGTAATGAGGTTTCATAGCAGGCATCATGACACAAACATAAGCAAAGAAAAAAGATGATTTGATATCCTAGCTCTGTCGAGCAATAAGGACACTATACATGTACTCTGCATGTCTCGTATATAGCCATATAGACGCAGACAGCTCATTTGGAAGAAAGTGGCATAAATCCTAATTTTTAGTCAAAGCACTGTTTGTTGGAAATGTACAGCGAAAAAGATAAGACGTGGTACGAGTAGAGAGGCATGGATACGTGTCTGGATACGAAAATGTCTGTCCTTAAATGATGAAGGGCGTACAGTTCAGTTGTCATAAAGCAGCGGTTTTGATTTGGGGTGTACTATCATTTAGATTAAGACATTTATAGGTGTCTAAAATTTTGTCTAACAGAGAACCATCTGTACAAAACTGATGGGAGTAGCTCGTGATTGGCAAACAGCATTCAAGCGGTTGAAGATATCAACAAAAACGGCGTTGTCGATCTAATATCTTTCCTTCTTTCCTAAAACAATTAAAAGCTTTCGGCAACAAATGCACTCGCTAGAGATCTGTCGCCCATATTACAACATTATTTGGAATATCTGCAGATAAGATTTTAGTATAATAAATGTAGGCTTATAATTCGAGAAGTGAACGGTAGCATATAGATAGATGTACGCAATACTTGAAGATCTGAAAAACCTCACCTATAATAAAGCATCATAACGTGTTCGGAAGAATATCGAAAAATACAACTAATAATAAACGTTCGAATTCGAAGGTCAGGATCGTTCGGTCAACACCAGCAACTGTAGTAACAGTCTCAGCGGAGCGCACAATATATAAAATAACGGAGTGAACCAATAACACATCTACTCCTACGTGTTCACATTACTACCAGCATATCGGCACGAGGTGTCGCCCAGCGAATCGTGCGGGTGCGTCGTCTGATGCCAGCGAGTTGTCAAGAAATTAATTAATTTGAGGACTAAATGAAACCACAACAAGACGGTAACCAGTGTAGCAAACAAATTTGTCCATAAGAGGCACAAGTATCGCGAGTCCATGTCTCATTGGTGAAACAAGTCGGAAAAGAAACATGGCGTATCGTATTTTAAATAGCAATGCACACACTCCATAATGTCAACCTGCGCCTTACAGCTTTTGGCGGCAAGTTCAAATAGACCCAGTGACGTCGCGGATTTCTGCTGGAGGGCTTCCATGGCAGTATCGCACGGCTTAGGTCATGGTGATTCTACACACAGAGACTAGATGCTTAGAATTACCGGTGGGCTAGGTTAATTCAAGGATAAAGGAAATCATAGTTCAAGGGGCCGTAGTGGAATGTTTGGTAAAATATGTAGGGGCCGAATTTAAAATTTTGCATGAGTTATTTTACTGCAGCGCCGTCGTTTGATTTGTTCGGTAATTGAAAACGTTGTACGTGACTATTGAACGAACAAATGTCCAGCAGAAATGAACCGTCGGTACGATCAGCCAGCTTGCGTAAAGTCAAACTTCGGTGTCCGCAATGTCGTTGCCGAATTAAGCTTGCTAGCGCTAATAAAACCCGGGTTCGGCATATTAGCATGGCGCGGAACTAAGGATCCGTTTTAGATGCAAAGCCTTTGCTGATGACGCGATTGCGTTAAAAGGCCTTGGAGTGGAAAATGTCAAGTGAATGCAAATAACGGAGGCCCGTCTAAACGAGATCATCGTTAGACTTGACACAAAAGCAGATGTTCCAAGGTACGTGCTGTTGAACGGGCTCCTGTTTTGTACCCGAAACTATATTCTGGATCGCACGAATTCAGGTGAAGACGTGGCTGTATGCAAGAATCCGGAAAATCGCACAAGGATTACTGAAACGCTTTCATATCCGCCTGGGCGTACATCCTCAAATCCAGAAAGTGTTGGCTCTGTGTGAGAGTTGCCAAAGCCTGGGAAGCCAAACGCGTATTCCAAAGTTTGCATTCAAGGAAACCTGTATTAGAGAGGCGGTCGAATGCAGAGAACGCTGAAATGCATACGGGTAAGCGTCGCGTGCCGGGAAGTGCCAGGGAGAAACATTTGGCTTTAGCACAAAGAGCTGGCTTCAAGGTACCAGCCCAAACGGCGCTGACCGCCCCAAACCATATATGGTATGCATACGTGAGTAGCTCGTCAGGTGTTACTGTACGTATTAAAATGTATTTAGTCTTGGTATTTCCGTCACTAGCGGTACACAATAACAGTACAGTGTACACATACATGTATAAAGGTTAGGCAGCGGAGCTCTGTTCACTCATGTTAACAGATAGTAAGACCTGTATTTATGTGACTTGAAAGATGTATTATACAGCCAAACTACACACGAAACACACTGAGACAATTCGCGCAGCAATGGTTCAACAAGCTTCAGCTATCTTTAGAGGTTAATTATTTATTGTGTTCCAACGCCACAATCACAACAGGACATATAATTTGGAGAACGCGTAACTGTCTACAGCACAGAACTAAGGTGATACCGTCTCTCAGCCCGATTGGGTATATATGTTGGCGTCATACAGGTCTTATAGTATAAAAAGCAACAAACAAAGGGACAACAATACATATACCCATACATCGATTTGGAGCTGTAAATACTGCTATACCTTAGTCGTCTACGTGTATTACAGAAAATTTCGAGGTGAAAAGGTTATGCTTCATTTTGAAACAGACCATTTCCTTTACTATACATGAACAGTTGTCGGATGTTGTATTATATTAACGCTGGGTGATCGGAAATATCAACATTCTTCAATACTTTCCAGTGATGTTATGATTCGAATAGAGTGTCAGTGAAGGCATTATTGAAGTCATGTAAAATGCGGATTGTAAAGAGATACTGCAATGCAATGCCGAACCAGGGTAGCAAGACGAGCGTTGAAGCCGGGTACTAGAATACCAGCGATGATTTGGAAAGTACGAACCCTGGTTATAGATGGAGTAGTTCTTATATTACTTTATGGTAGACGGAGAACGCGGAACGGTGACGTAGGGTAGTTAAATTAGCACGGTTCATGTGCGAGAAAGGTCATAAAATGCCTGGTAGTACATGTGTGACGTGATACTGCTTGCTAGCACATCGGTCGAGCGGCGACAGCCGCTTATCCTCAGGTTCAATAAAAACAGAAAGCCGCATAAAAAGATATAGTTACAAGATGATCCACTATCGGCTTATGAGATTGATTGTACCATTCATTTCATGGCAAAAGTTTAGAGATAATGATAATCGTGCGCTTCGTTGCCGATGCGTAAGCTTGTAGGTAAGGAATATTTCCCTGATATGCTTGCAAACAAGTACATACACAATGTAAATTTAGCCTACGTGATTGGTACGTAACGGCAAGTGATTCCAGATCGTATGCTCAGTTTTGATGCATATCCTGTACTTTTTTTTACCGTAATATGAGGCAGCCATTAACTACGATACGTGTGAGCTTAAGCCATTGGAGGCCATTTTCTTAAATCTGTATAGCATAAATTTGCTTAGACTCGCATACTCTCTACGCGGTAGCTGTGGCTAGCAGAACGTACAGACGCGCTAAATGTATGACAAAAACAAGGGAACAAGTTAGCCAAAGCATGAGCTTAGAGAGATAACACAAAAGCCCACTGCGAAAATGAAATTAAGAAAGGTGCATTGAAAAAGAAAGAATGACTTCGAAACTTTTCGAAACAACTTCACTTCCTTTTATTTATTTAACAATTTATGTGGATTTTATGCTTATACAATATTATAGGTGAATCCTTTGCAATGGACTTTAGCAGTATATGATTTAGAGTGTAATTACGTGGTATGACTGGCTACGCCTATCAAGAATGACTACTCAGTGAGTAGCCACTGGACACCAGATATACCTCATTTTTGGCAAGTTAAGTATTTGTTATAGGATTTTAGAATATGTAAAAATACGAAACGAAGCTTACCTGGTTCGAAACAACCTAAACAGCTGAGAAGAAAAATAACCCGTGGGAACCACTGACGCAATAGGTGGATATCTTCCATCGATAATTGGTAATCCGTCATGGATTATTTGACACGTATTTTCCATTCACATGGCCGCAACGTTCGCCTCGATTCACGTAATCCAATTCTTTAACAGTTCATTTTGGGCCTTTTTTTTTTCTAGCGGAATATAGGAACATACACACGTAACTGGTACACGAAATTCAATAAATTTAATTGCACTCTTTCTTTGCCTTAATAGAGTCAACTATTAGATAGGGACTTGCTATTTCAAAGCAGACGTCGTGCCCATCGTAGCTACATTTAAGTTTCCTGGGAAACTTATTCCAGATGAACTAGGTTACTTCCGAACAGATCTGACAGTTATAAAATTGGTCCACACTCTTAAAATAAATATTGAAATTTTATGATAATTTGACATGCGCGCGTTTTAGAGTACACATCCAAATGAATGCATATCAAAGCAATCTTTTTCTGCTTTCAGTTCAGTATAACGGTCACTTCGAAACTGTTTGTTTGTATAGTTTGCCTACCAATGGGCGCAAGTGAAGTTTACACATATATTCATGGTACAGCGCTTGTTTTCGAGACAACTTCGTTCGCCAAAATGAGCTAAACAATGCACACGGAACACATGGCTCGAGCGTTGATTAAACAACCGCTCGTGATGACCCTGTATGAGCCGCGACAAAACAATTCTGGGGCGACATTCAGAAACGTCTGTATGGTCGAAGAGGATGCGGATCCCATTGCCAGTTCTATGCCAGTACCCTTCCTCTCAATTCAGGAAAGGGTAAAGCAAAGGGTAACTTGTGAGAGAGAGAGATACGAATTTCCCGTTAAAGTTCGCATTAAGTAAACGGTACGAGGTCATACTCTTGCATTTATGACAATGAGATTTTCACTAGGTATATTATTCCCCGAGATTCCTCAATTGTGACTGTCTCCGTGCAAAACTTACTCAGTACTCAAGTTTAAACTTAATCCTGTACCAGCGAAGCAATTGAGTAATCGACACATTTAAAGAAAATGTTCACGATACGATGTAACACAACAGAGAGGACTTTCGTACAAAAAACTTCATTGACAAAAATCGGACGCGAGTTTCGAGGATAAGCTGGCGGCAAATACAATGCCGAAAATCAAAATTTCATTCTTCAATTGGGTCAGCATCGTCGAGCTTTCAAGTGGACGCTTGTATCATTTAGACCAAGAGTGTTGGTCTAGGGATGCTAAGCCGTGAGAGCGGGTCTAATAACAGGTCATCTAACGATAGTAATCATTGGTAATTACGGATTGGGCCCGGTGCTTCCGTGCCAGGTCTAAAGCCGTTGATGTTCGCAAGCTTTGGCAAAGCTTATTTAGACGCCTCCTAGACTTTACGCGAACTGAAGGCGTGACGTTGAACGGATATCAGCATCCGGCATCGAGCATTTCACGCAGTGCGACGTTTGCCCGCTAACTAAATGCAACAACGAGAATGAAAGCTTTAAAACGCCTATGAAACCAGCCGTCAGCACCAAAATAAACGTGATGTCTACCAGAATTGCTCAGGTGCCCAGTCGAGCTATGTCTGAGGCGTGGGAATTTTGCCAACAAGGAATCACCAACGACCAAGTTAAACAGTATCGCCCTGAATAATCACTTGGACTTATGCCGAGGGGCCAGTCTGGATGCGTGGTGAGACGACCTCGACAGTCATTCAGAATGGTGAACGTCACCACTTGTGAGTTCGGGCGTTTGTTAATTGCCCCTAGAAGGAGACGGCAGTGCAGTACGACAGAAGTAGGGAACGCTATAACCGGCGAACGCTCGTGAAGGCATAGTGTCGGCTGATTAAAACGGACTGATTAAGATTCTTACATTACAAAAAATATATGGTTATATATGTAGCCATTGACATTGCTGCACCGACAAAGCTATGGCTGCTGTTGTAATGGCGAAACGTTTATACATTTTTCAATAGCCTACCTTACACCTTACCTGACAAAGGCTACCATATAACATGTAGCGGGCTGAAACTGTGCGCTGTTGATTCATCGAGACTGAGACACGAGTACGAAGCTCTATTTCGAGAAGATAGAAAGAAAACCTCGTCGTTACTCAGGCTCAACAGTAAGCCACCAGACGTTAATACGGCCATTTTTTTACTACCGAAAAGAAGACCATCGAGGGCATTAAAAAACTGCTCATTGTTTGATTCCAAGTACCAGTCTGTTTAATCTAACAGTATACATATCTGTACAATCGAACCCAGAAAAGTACGACATTATTATTCTATAGAAAACATCCTAGCTGGTTTAGACTAAACCATAAAATTGTGTCAGTTTGTTTTATCTTGCGTTTAATTTTCATAGCATTGCTCGCCAGATTTTGTCGTGACCTTTGTCCGCTTCGTTCATATTTCATTACCTGTGTAACCTAGTGATGGTCCACGCCATGCCTTCATGATACCGTGGTAACTAAGATGGAAACGGCCTTCCTCTCACTGCCAAGTGGCTAACGGCAAAGCAGACAGTTCAGGAGCCACCGGCCAACAGAGACATAGTAGCGGAGTCTGCGGTTACGGCCTCTATCGACCGACCCAGAACGAAGCCGTTTTTCCCCAAATGGGGGACTGAACCCTGTGTAAGACAGGACTGAGTTGCACATCGGATGTACACTGTATAGATGGATGGGTCGGCAGTTGGTGGCAGCAGGTTATCCCCATCATAATTTTCCCTGATATCCTCAGAGTACTTGCAGCAACAAGAGGAACCAACGTTGCTTCCTCTAGTCGTCATTCCCCTTTCTACCCCCAAAGATGGCTGAATCGCCCATCGAAAAGGACGAAAGGATCGAACGAAGCCAAACGAATAAAGTCCACCGGCCTTGGTGACAGTAGCAACGAATGAACGGAGATTGGGAACTGTTGGCTTCCCGGGATCTCGAACGTCAAGAAACGAACGGGCATCTGACTAAGAGGGAATGTGATAGAGCGATGGACTCAATGATAGCAGCGACGTTGGGAGAATGGCTGACAAAGTGATGGAACATCACGCGCGCATCTGAGTTAGTCGTAGAAAACGCCTAGGGAAAGATGCCGCACTTTCCTATTTCTGTCCGTTGCTATCACCACGAAAATGCCCCGTCTGACAGCGAGGGATTTCCGTCCGATACCGTCGTAACGTTGTGCAAATACACGAAAATAGATAACATTCAGAGTTACCCTCGATCTAGACAGGATATCGAGATGTTACATGGCAAGGGGCTCTGAAGATGGCTAAAAGAGCAACAGATATATACGCTTTTTATTCCCGCTACTCTCTCAAATTGTCACGCTAGATGGATATGCCGGTAGATGGCTAATAGGCTAGAACCAGCTATATGCTATTGGTTAGACTCAATAAAAACTAACGAAAAAGCAATCTTTGTAATAATTCGGTATACTTCTATCTACTACCGTATAGGTTTGAATCTTTAGGGATCAGTCACTGAGAATATTTTACAATAATGGCAAAGTCTTAGATCTAATACGCAAGTAGCGAAGCGACAATCTTGATTTGCAAATCTTAAAAGCTAAAAAAAAACATAAGATGAACGATTTCAGTGAAATATTTAGGTGTATCAAAAGAAACTAACAAATTTCGCGCGAACGACGTACGGATATAAAGCTGAGCGCGAGCACCTCATAGTTTCTATGTGTATTAAAAATCTCACAAACCAAGACCTGCTGTGATACATTCGTGGCAAAGAGTCGGTTAATGGAAAACCTTATAATAACAAGCCTTAGAGTTTGGCAAGGTAGCTTAATTGAGGCCGTCGTGACGTAAATATTTTAAAGGCTTGATACAGGTGGCTATGTGGCGCGATTATCTTTTATAAACCTGCATGTATCTCCAGAAAAGTTAAAAAAAAAAAATTAATACCACGGAAGTTTATGTTCAATAGGCTCTTCGTGAAGGTGGTATTAAAACCGACGTCAGGTATATCGAGACGTGTTTTAGAAAGTTTTTACGGTCTAAGCCGATAAAGACGCACAGCGCCAACGCTTATGCCTGGTTGTGTGTTTAATGCCTTCATATATAAACTTCTTCGGAGCAAGATAAAACGTAAAATGCATGCCAGCCAAGTAAGGTGCCTTCAGTCGATTGCTTTATCACTTTAATCACGTTTAAGCTATGAGTAAACTTTACCGATATACGACTGTCAATCTTCAGGGAAAGCCAGATTGGCAAAAACGAAACTATGTTTAGTTATATACAAAGCAAGCCAGAAGATCCTCGAAACTTCAAAAAATATTTGTCAAGAGACGTTTTTCTCAGACTGCCCAAAAACGTTTGTCTCACCATGTACGTGCTGTACAGTCGTTTCTTCCTGGGTTGTTTTAAGTTGCATTTATTAGATCGCTGAAGTTGAACCTCTACTTTTGATTTTAGTTACTGTCGAGTTCTTGTTTTGACGTTATGAACGTATTATGAGAGGGAATGCGTTGAAAAGAAAGGCTATAGAAACATCTTCATGAAGTTATGTCTTTGTTACATTGCGTAAATATCTATGAAAGATTTAGGGAAGCGCCACGTGCGTACGTATCATATCCAAAATCTCACCAGCTATAAGTCCTTGAAGTTAAATGGCTTCAATCTTAAAACTTTATGAAAAGAACCTTTCAGATTTTAGTTCGACATTGTGCGGTGGTAGAGATGCAGATTTTTTACTGTACATTTCAGTTTATTCAAGTGCCTTTTCTACATTAAAGCTAATTATATATATATATATACACACGTTCACTTTTAACTGAATTGTCTGCAGTGCCTTGCTAGCGCCTGCTCGGCCAGTTCACTAGCACAGTTGTTATAGTTACTACTACTACGGTCGATGCCATCGGTAGGGGACTCTTGGTCGCTTGGATGACACTCATGGAACTAAATCTTCGTGACCCGTCCAAAAACGCTGATATTTCGGCGAATACAGAAAAGATGCCCAGAGAAATTAGCTCACTATAAGTTACCTTTGTTTTGGTGTGTACTGTGGTTACGTATGTAGCTATCGCCTAATGAGTAGTAAATCCGTTGCAGACGGTAGGAAATGTTTATTGCTACTGGGCAATATAGGAAATGAGTATAGCGTCGAAATTGATTTTGAAGAGGTTTTAAGTACATTTGGCCTGAGATATACGTTTCCATATGGAATACGTTTAGATGTACTTGCAAATGATCCCTTTATCCAATTATTTTGAATAATGTCCATTTAGACCTTATTTAATAGCACATACGTATAATGCATTTCAAAAAGGCTGGACAACGTTTAGGGTTGAACATCTCGATGAAAGCGTCAGCGTGAAAAAACTAAGTGTATCCGCTTTGCATAGAGGCTGAATTAATCTGTGGCTAGGGAAAGTAGACCTCTGAACTGTGGCATGTTTTTTAACATTGGTGCAGGAATAAGTAAGCGTGAACGAAATAGGCACAGGATATAGTGCGAGTGACTTTCTTCACGATATTAGACCGGGGATCGAAATTGGAATCTTCAGTCTTTAATCTTGTTTCAGGCTGCAACGTCTAGTGCTAATGTTATTACTTGAATAGAATAGATCGGCACATACCAAGCGGTCGAGGGGGTAATTCGGAGCTTGACTAATTCTACAAGAACACCGAACCCCGCTTGCCGAAGCGGATACCGTCCATGAATGACTCA